TGGTGTCGGTCCGAAAGGTTGAATGAAAGCCTGAAGTTTTAAACCGAATTTCGAACCGAAGTCGGACCGAATTCGCAATATATCCATTAGATCCGAAAGGGATGTTAGAGCTGTGGGAGTAATATCGTGCGCATTTCTGATTTTTACCAGCCCGAATTCGGAAGAAAGTTTTTATAAAGTTCTGATGTACATATTAACAAAAACTTTTATAACGTATGACGAGAGATGATGAGATAAGATGAAAAAAACTGCAACCAACTTCAGACTGCAGTCATTTCTAAGTTACTCGTCCGACAGCTCTTAAAATTATTCCAGTGACAGCGTAATTTATTGTTTGCAAACGTACAAAAGCATTTTGGTGAGAATTTTCAAGAAAAAAGTTGTTTCTAATGGAATTCAAGCGTGATTGTGTGATTTCTTTATATTTGGCTGGAAAACCACAAGTGGCTATCGTTAGAGCACTCCAACATTTAAATGTGAATAAATCTTTTGTGTCTCGTACCATCGCTCGTCGCCGTGAACTGGTAGCGTAGCCCGAAGTGGATCGAAGAAAACAGCAACATCAGCAGAAATGGTTCGAAAAGTAAAGAACTCCATTCAATTCGGCAAATATTGAAAAAGGAGCTCGGGGTAAAGCCATTGACAGAAAGAAAATAGACTCAGAAGAGCTAAAGAACTGCTTCGCTTGGCCGAAAGTGGTGAACTGCCGAATTTGGTTTTCTTCGATGAGAAAACATTCGTTGTCCAGCAGTTTGTAAAAAAAATAAAATGATTCCGCAACCAGTTTTTGCATTTTTCTTTTTTATATGTGTGGTGGGTGGTCCCGAGGAATTTAGTTTTTTTCCGGTAAGTTGTGACCAACTTGTTTCGGCAACCACTCGATCACCATTGACATAGTCCCTCGCTAGGTCCTGGTGGCTCTCCATAAACTCGATGAAAATGTTTTCTTGTGCTGAATTCATGTGCCTGCGCCAAAAATATTAATTATTGATAAATTGATTAAACAGCATTTCATATTTCACATATTTTAGATACATTTTTTGTTTTTGCTTTGCTTCGGTTCATTATTCGCAATACCACATTGTTGTTTTTCAAAGATGAATAATTTTGTTTGAAGAAAAAAGCAATTTTCAAGAAAAACATAATGTGGCAAATTTTGTTAACAATTGTCTTCGTCAATTGAGATTAGCTAATTATTTGAATAAAAAGTTAAAAATGTAAATTTAATTGTGTATTTGTCGTTAAGACAACATTTTTTAATACTTAAAAGTATTATGAGGGTTTTTTAAATGCTAGGAACACAATTGGAGCGAACGACGAATTTCGCCCTACGCGGCGACAAAATGAGCCGCGAAAATTCGTCGTATGGAACACAATACCGACGAAATTATAAAACAGCTGATGAAGTTGTTTACTTTTTGCTCATTTGTTGACTACAATGAATTATACAAGAACACATAATTCTTTACGTTCTCTATTATAATTTCACTTATGTCCATGTTCTCTATTATAAATTCACTGATATCCATCTTCACTCAGGCGCAAGTACACAAATAAATAAACAAATTAATTATGTTTTTTTTATACGAGTAACAGATAGTAGAGTGACCATAACAAATTTTAAAGTAAAAAGTAACTTTATTTACTAAAACACATAAAATTCGTACAAGTATGGCCACCTTGTACTGTTTTGTTCGCCGGTCGCCGGCGTATGAAATAGAAATAAAGCTAATTGAGTTCGCGGCGACCGACGAAATTTTCGCCGGTGCCGTGATTGTGTGCACTTCCATATACACATATGTGTTTTATTTTTGACGACGAACATACGCCGCGAAAAAATTCGTCGTTCGCTCCAATTGTGTTCCTAGCAAAAGTCACAAGTTTCCATAAAAATACAATTTCACTTGCAAAAAACCAAAGTGGCTTCAAGTCGAAAAAATGTTGCGATTTACATTTTCTGAAGAAGCTAAATACGAAATTAAAATCACTTTCATACCGAATTAATTCTTGTGACATACCTGGTTATATGGTTTGTACATGGTAGAATTAAGAAGGTAAAGTCATGCAATCATATGTTTACAATTTTTAAAAATTAATAATTTGACAACATCTCATTGTCAAAATGTATATTTATGAATCCATTACACAAATTAGTGATGGGAACACGCTTTCTATGCAGCGAAGTTTGAGAATGTAAATGACAGAAAAGGCAAAGATGGAATGCTTTTTGGAAATGGCCTTGCCTTCTTTATTTACCATTGTAAAAAACGTATATTGGAGGACCAACTAAGTCCAATACCTTCATTGAGTTAACATTTTTATAAATGCATACATAAGTGTAGTCACGGGTCACACGCATAAAGACAACCCCCAATCATTCCATTTATCAATATCTAGAGGCAGTTAGTACAAATATAGTTCTCGTGGATGTCTATTTCCTAATATTCACCATTATAAAATTTCTTCTCTTTCCTTCAAAATTGAAATTGGGTAAAGTCATGTAATCATATGTTTGCAATTTTTTCAAATTAATACATTTGACATTTCATTGTCAAAATCTATATTCATAAATCTATTGTATACACACAAAATGAGAGATGGAAATTGTTTTTTATGCCTTAAAATGTGACAAGGTAAATTTCACTGCCTTTACATGGTGACATTTTTTAACCATGTCATTTTTTTTTGTTGGTAAAATGTGTAGATAGAAGAAAAAATGGCACGATAAGCCACCGCACAGGGTTACATGCCATTTTCTTTGCATTTCTCTTTTTGCTTCCTCCGAATTTTTATGATTTTGACATTTCATATCGTTTCTTTATTGTAATTTTGATGCGTTTCTTTTATTGTGATGTGTTTGGTGATTGAATTGTATAGTGTATTATATGAAAATTAATTGGAAGTTTTAAAAAGTAAAAAAAGAAAGTTAAAATAAAAGTCAATAATTTTAATAAATATGTGGACCAGATCGACAATAACATTTTCCATTATTTCTTATTTAGATTCACACATTTAATTTTAAATCACTTCTTTATAAATATCTGTTACAAACAATTAGCACAACAATACAGCTCTATACGAAATACTGAATAAAATAAAATGTCAGAAAAATGCCAAGCACTAATGTCATAAAATGCCACCGTGTAAAGGCGCGAAGATTTACGCAGAAATTTTAAAAGAGAATTGATAAAAATGCCAGCTAAAAATTGGACCGTGTAAAGGCAGTGTTACAGAAAATGCAGAGCTGGGAATGCTAATTTGAAATAAGGTTACCTTTATTTCATTGTACCATGAGATTATTTTTCAAAATTTAAAAGACAAACACACATGGTAGAAGAATATAGGTAGACGCGTCGACACAGCTGCTTGGACAATGAACTGTCAAACCAATTTTGGAATTGAAAATGTTGAATGAAAAATTATTTAAATTTGTAAAAATTGTTGAAAAAACGCGAATTATAATAGCCTCCGAATGACGTAGTATATGAAAGTATAAAAAATCTACTTATATTTGAAAAAATACATTTAAATTTTTTGACATATCAATGCTCCCAAGCGTTGATGCATCTACCTGTATTCTTCTGCCATGGCAAACACACGTGTGTTGTATTGAAACAATTAGTCGACAAACTGTGAAAAAATTCAGAAACTATTCTCTCCACTATGCCGCCGATGACTTCATATAGACTTTGATCTCTTTTATTAACCAGGGTCTTCTATACAACAAATAGTACGGATCGAGTATTGATCTTCGCTTTTCCCCTAACTCATTAAGATCGCTGATACTTGGCAACATTAGCATCTGTTTTGTTTGATTGTGCGGATATTTACGTCACAATAGAAATCTCTCTTGCTTGCAAACGGCTAAAATGTAAGTGTTGTTGCTCTTGTGAATTTGGTCAAAGTCCACTAGTAATTGGGAATTGTTTTAGGAACAGGGCGATGATGATGTCTGCTGCAAAGAACTTACTAACCAGATATGGTTCAACCAAGAACAACATTTATCGGTGCATGTCCACCGGTAAATTAACTACTGTTGATGTAAATGAGAAAAGTGGCGTTGCTGTTTTAACAATGAACCGTCTGCCGGTTAATGGCTTGAATCTGGAACTCTTACGAGACATTCGAAATGACATCGATGAAATAGAGGGCAACAAATGCCGCGGATTAATTTTGACCTCGGTAATGGATGCATTAAGTAGAAGGGAGAACGGTGTAACTGATGAATATTTTATAGGCTTCCAGTAGCGTATTTTCTGCCGGTTTGGATATTATGGAAATGTACAAACCTAACCAAGATAGACTTAAGGAGTTTTGGACCACATTGCAAGATACATGGCTTGCCTTGTATGGATCTAGCGTTCCCACAGCAGCAGCAATAAATGTAGGCAATGGCTTTGTACTCTTGTAATCGGTACATTCATATTCATATATTATTGTAGGGTCACTCTCCAGCAGGAGGCTGTCTTCTTGCCACTAGTTGTGAATATCGAGTTATGTTGCCAAAATTTACAATAGGACTGAATGAAACAAAACTCGGCATTGTGGCGCCCAAATGGTTTATGGCCACCTTCTGTAACGTTTTGCCCCGTCGCGTGGCTGAAATGGCTTTGACACAGGGCAAAATGTTCAGCAGCGAAGAAGCCCTTAAAGTTGGATTAGTCGACGAATTGGCACAATCAAAGGAAGAAGCTATAGAAAAATGCCAACAATTTTTTGCAACTTTTGCAAAAACAAACCCTTTTGCTCGGGCCATGACCAAACAACAATTTAGGTCTAAGGATTTACAACAGTTGGAAGATGAAAAAGCCCAGGACCTCGAAGCATTCTTATTTTTTGTCAATCAACCCAGTGTACAAAAAGGCCTGGGTATTTATTTGGACAGTCTGAAAGCTAAAACGAAGTAATTATTTACATTTATTAAGTACCTATGTAAGAAAACAGTTTTTTTTAGAGTTTTTGTTATGCATTTATTTAATATGAAAGGCATTTAAAAAAAATATATGATTCTTAATTTTCGTTGTTTTGCAATTCGTCTTGAACTTCCTGTTGAAGATTTTGTAAGTTTTCGGTTACAAGGTCTAAAAAGGTATTGATTTCCAAAATTTTTGCACGGTTTCTCTCCAGTTCATCCCTAAAAAACATTTAGAAATTTATTTAGATTTTCAGCAAAAAAGATCTAAGTAATTATATTTTTGTATAATAAAAATAACTTATAAAGAGAGCGGAGACCGTGTTTCTTTGAAATTTGTTCATATTGCAACTGGTTAAAGATCACAACACATCTGTACAACCAATATAACAAGTTTTTGTTTTAGAATATTGGCAGCTATTTAAATACATTATTTTGTCATGTTAAGCTCTTTATTACCTATTAAACGCCAAAGAAACATTAATGGTCAATTTTTGCTATCATCAATGCCAATGAGTATTTTATTTATTTCTGTCTTTACTCGAACAATAAACTCGTTCCTGGTTACGTTCGTCAGTACGATTTATTCAGTTATTTCTTTTCACTCAGTGATCAAGAAAGTGCAAGACTATTTTTCAATGGCTTTTAAATGTTTTTTTTTTTCGATTATAATGTAAGAATTATTGTTGTAATATCTGAACAATCTGCATCAATGGATTGTAATGTCAGAACTACTATCAATCAAATGCAAATAAACAAAACAATTTGTTTCACTGTTTTTGAAAATTGAATAAATGAATAGTTATGTGTAGAGTTTTTTGGAACCGTCCACGGCCCTATGGGCTTGGCAACTGTGTTAATTGAATATAAATAAAAAAAGAGAAATGTCTACACTTCTTTCAAATTACGTTTTTATCACAACTGACATTGAATATTTTCTCAAAAATGTTCATAATATTGAAAAGAACACACAAGTGCACAAATTAGTTTGACATCTTAAACAAATTAAAAATCTATTGGCTTTAGTACCCTACCTTGGTTTCATCGTTCTATGCTACATTTGATTTGGATAATCGGAATAGTGTATTGCTTTGTTCTTCGATATCATAATGGGAAAATCGGTTATCATAGTAAAGACTTTTACATTGTTGCAGTTCTGGAACAGAGCATATATTTGTGTTGTTATGCTTATGTTGCAGAATGATTTATGCTAATTATTGGCCTGTTCCAGAATTGCACGAAAGTAAAAGTTTTTACTACGCTAACCGATGTGTTCTTTATTTTATCGAAAAAATTCCGAAACTAGTTGATTCTTGCAGGCCCTGGAACAGGTCATATGTTATATTTTTATTGATTATTAATATCTATATTTTTATAATATTACTAGCTGGCCCGTTCCGCCTTACCGGCCCGTAGTTTTAGTCTTTAATGCATAGTTTTTAAAGCATAATAATTGACAGATCTGACTCACACAATTGACACAATTTTTAATATAAATGATGACTCGACTAAATATAATTAAATATGCATCGCAAAAATGTCATTACAGGTTTACGTAACGGGCGATTTATAGTGTTTCAAAAAACCTGATCCTATGTTTCACCCAGATGTTTAACTTTGAGAGTTAAAAACCTAAATAATAAATCACATATATTAAAAAGTATATATTAACTGTTTTTAATAGCCCCATGTAAAATGGTTCTCTACCCCCAAATCAGCCTAAGACAAATCGATTCGAAAATATAATCAAAACCCTCGAAATAGGTAAAATGAGGAGGTACTTTATATGGGCGCTTCTCCGAAACATTGACATTGAAAAATTTCCCCAAACTGGTCTTCTGCATCCTTAGAAGCTAAGACGCCAAATAAAGGTAAAATCAATTGAAAAATATGACCAAGACACTGGAAACAGCTGAAATCAGCGGATATCTTCATATAAGGGTTATACCATAGAATGGTCCTATTCTTATAATTATTTGTATTATTTCTAAAATCTCAAATTAGCAACATTTAAGGAATTTGAAAGGCGTTATATCATTTGAGGGGGGCTATATCACAATGTAGACGGACCTGGTACATCTATATATATAAAAATCAATTGTTGTTCGTTGGTAATGGAATCAGTTGAGAACGGCTGAACGGATTTCCATATTTTTTTTTACAAACGTTCGTCATACCCCGAGTTAGGCTTTTAAAAATATTGACCACCCCTAGTTTTACGCCCACTATTGCGATTTATCTAAAATCCTTATATTTGCCAAATAATGAATACATAGGTTTTAAAAATTATTACACGACATACTGTTGACCTTCCCTCTAATCCTAAGTATTTATTTGGGGGCTGAGGAACAGGCCAATCCTACTTTTTAATCTATTTATAAACCAATTTTTGTTCGTTGGTAATTGGACCGGCTGAACTATTTGGATATTTTTTTTTAAGTGTTCGTCCTACCCCGATTTAGGTTTTTTCGATTTATCTAAAATCTTAATATTTGCCAAAATCACAGTTAGTATACGACGTATTCTTGACTCTCTCTCCAACCCTAGCCATCTGTTTGGGGTCAGAGGAATGGCCCACCTACTTCTTTAAATTTATATGTAAAAAATTTAAAATATATATTAATACAACAGTTGAGAACGGCTGGGCCGATTTGACTCAAAGATTTTTGTGATTATTTGTAATTACAGTGGAAACGTTGTCAAGAAACAACATTTTGAAAAAAATCGCGGAACTGAAAAAATTGGCTGTTTTATCATGATATGGAATTTTGTGTAGAATTGTTTCAGAATGCCTTTTGGAATTGAAAATTCTTATTGAAAAAAACTGAAAAAATCGAGAAAGTTTGCATATTTTCTATATATGCTGTTATATGGTTGCCATACCCAAATTTTCAATTTTGATAAGATATGGAAATAATCCATCCAATGAGAACTCAAAATGTAAAATTCATTGGGACTTCAATCAGTGAAATACCGAATAATTTCCAAATTGAAATCCAATATGATGGCAATTTGACTATAATTTAACTATCATAAATAAAGTATCATCGATTTATAAAAGTTAGGGACCCCATAAAGTATATTTGAGAGTAGAAATCTTTATTGATTAAATTATATCCGTGAGCCTCTTCGTTCACCATCTGCAATTACGATAGAGGTCAACAAATTTAATATGCGTCTTTCAAACTTTGCACAGGTTTTTATATTATTGTTAGGATGATTGATGTTACAAAAGGTATATATTTATTCTCATTTAGATATAGCCCTCATATAATATTATCTTCTAATATTCGTCGACCAAATGTGCCTCTTTATATTCATTATTTCATCGAATTTAATTAAATTTTCAAATCTCAGTTATCAGTTCTATAAAGGTCTTAGCAATATTTTCCAAATCAAAAATAATTTAAGAATTCGTAACTTTTAGAAGATCATGGTATTTAGTTTTTACCAGTCAATTAAACTATACCCGATTGTGTATGCGGCCGTTCGTTCGTTGAAATCGCAATAAAGGCGAAATATTTAGGTTAATCTTTAAACTACAATATTCCTAGGAAGTTAAAATATATCCGATTCGTTTAGGTATAATAATACCACTAAAAATTCGTCCTTTTGCATGTTTTTGTTACAATTTCTACCGAATTATCTGTAAATTGACATTTAAAGTTTTCGTTATTGAGAAATCAATACCGACAACTGGCTACTACTGGTCCCCATTAGGCATAGCTTCAATTTAAAAGTACGTTGAAAATTTTAATGTTTTGATGCTTTGAAAAGTATTTTTCAATCAAAATTGAAAATAGCAGCATTGGTATAGCAACCATATAACGGCATTTATAGAAAATATGCAAAATTTCTCGATATTTTCGGTTTTTTTTTCTATAAGAATTTTCAATTCCAAAAGGCATTTTGAAACTATTCTACACAAAACTCCATATAAAAATAGAAAAGTCAATGTTTTCATTTCCGTTATTTTTATAGAGACTTTTCTCAACATTTTCTCTCAGAAAAACGTTTTCACTGTAATTACAAATAACCAAAAGAAAATTTGAGTCAAATCGGCTTAGTCGTTCTCAACTGATGTGTTACTATACTTTTTCAAATTTTTTACATATAGATTTAAAGAAGTAGGTGTGACCAGTTCCTCTGACCCCAAACAGATACCTAGGGTTGGAGGGAGAGTCAAGATTACGTCGTATACTAACTGTATAAAAGATATCTTCATGATTTTGGAAAATATAAGGATTTTAGATAAATCGAAAAAATGGGCGCAAAATTGGGCGTGGTCACTTTTTCTTAGCATAAAAACCTAAATGGTGGTAGGACGAACATTTAAAAAAAATATCCAAATACTTTTAGCTGGTCTCAAATGATTCAAATACCAACGAAGAACAATTGGTTTATATATAGATTAAAAAGTAGGCGTGGTCAGTTCTTTAGCCCCAAATAAACACTTAGGATTGGAGGCAAAGTCAACAGTATGTCGCGTAATAATTTTAAAACCGATATCTTCATTATTTGGCAAATATAAGGATTTTAGATAAATCGAAATAATGGGCGTAAAAGTAGGCGTGGTCAATATTTTTTTCTTTAAAAAACAAACTCGGCGTATGACGAACGTTTGTACAAAAAAATAATGCAAATCAGTCAAGTCGTTCTCAACTGATTCCATTACCAACGAACAACAATTGATTTATATATATAAACTAGCTGGCCCGGTCCGCGTTGCCGGCCCGTAGTTTTAGTCTTTAATGCAAATTTTGCATAGCATAATATTTCACAAATCTAGCTCATAAAAGTGAACAAATTTTTATACCCTACAACACTATGTTGGGCCAGAATTTATGTAACACCTCGAAATATTGGTTTCCCATATAGGAAAGTATATATGGATCTTCCTAGCTCGCCGAGCTGAGTCGATATAGCTATGTATGTCCGTCCGTCCGTCCGTCTGTCCGTCTGTCCATGTTAATTTGTAATCACTCTACAGGTCGCAATTATGGCCCGATCTTCACGAAATTTAAAATGGAGGTGGGGTTGAGGTCAGAATAGAACCCTATTTCTTTTGGAGATGATCGCCAAATGTTTAGGGGTTGAAATGGACCAAATACTGAAAAAATGTTGGATTTTGCAGTAGCTATACAGGTCGCAATTATAGACCAATCGACGCGAAATTTCGCTTATAGCTAGAGTTTAGGGCAGGGAAGAAGCCTACCAATTTG